CTTCTGCTTCTGCTTCTGCTTCTGCTTCTGCTTCTGCTGCTTCTGCTGCTTCTGCTTCTTAAGAAAAGTTTGCTAATCTAGAGTTAAATAAAATAGATTACGGGGGGGGGAGTGTAAGGAATCAACAGAGGAAGAAGAGGATGTTTTAAGGTAGATCTGCTTTGACCGTGCATCCTACATATCTAAACAACCAGAATGGAGCTACCTCAATCTGGAAACAAGACTGACTGAAAATTTCCTATTGTCTTTCTGCCAGTTCCTTCCCTCCCCACTGCCCTTTGGTCACCTAGTTGTCCTAGTGCTTGGACAGCAAGCTTTTAAAATAAAAATAAAAATAAATGGAACAGAATGGAAAGGGAAGAGGAAAACAAGCATACCCAGGCACCAGGTCTGTGGAGAAGAGGATTCAAACTGTTAATACTGAGCAAAGAAGTCTGATTTGCTCACCTCTCTCTGCAGACTCCAGTCTGGTTAACCCAGGGAAACCTGACTTGCTGAGTATGACTTCACAGTGGTTGGTAAATATAAATGTTTCAGTCTGGTTAACCCAGGGAAACCTGACTTCCTGAGTATGACTTCACAGTGGATCTATTTACATTTTTCCTGTGGTATGGTTGCCCCCCTCAGGGAGAATTTTGGCACCCGGGAGCTCTTTACCAGAAAGTCTTTAAGAAGTTAGTACCCGAGAGCTCTTGATTACTGTTCATAGTCTTCTCAGAGTTATTTTGCCGGGGGGGGGTGGCCAGTGGGAGAGCTGGACTCCCTCCACTCACAACATAATTGTGCCATCCCCATTGAGGGCTTGTGAGGATGCCGAAGTCTGCTGTCAGGATAGTTCTTTGATAGTGTGGTGTTATTACACAGGTTTTTGGGGTGTGGGAAATTCAAGAAGATTGGAATCCCTTTGCGAAACCATGAACGTGGGAGGCTCCCATGCTACTTTTTCTGCATAGGCACCTGGGATATCTGCACTGAACATGATAATTGGTCAGATTTTTACCGTTGTGTAGGCATACATACTGCACCTCATTAACTTTTCTCTTCTTTTGCATGTGAAGCAGTTATTCTTTGAAACCATTTACTGTATATTAATCTCTATTTTTTAAATTAGATTTTTGATTCAGCTGGAGGGCGTGGATTTATGGGAACACATCTACCTCAGAGTTCCAGTGATTCCACAGAGGTAAACTAACTTTTAGTATAGCATGATGATAGTTACTTAATGTTTTTCTTAATTCATGACAAATGATATGAAAATCAATCACGCTGAAGGAAAGTCCTTATTTGACCTGTCTCCAAAGAAAGAAAAACATTACCCTGTCTTTCTCTTACACACACTGGGAGTTTTCTACGTGAGAGCCTTACATCTTTTCTCTTTTTATTATTTCTTGCAATTGCACACTATTGTTCCATTTTCCTGTTCCATGGATGCTGTTAAATATTGCTTTCCAATCTGTACAGTGCTTTCTGTCCTAAATTAGGCTACAACCTTGGAAGGAGAGATCAGATACAACATTATATATCTTAATAGTTTTCAAATGTCTAGTCCAGTGATGGCGAACCGATGGCACGCGTGCCACAGCTGGCATGCGAAGCCCTTTCTTCTGGCATGTGGACAAACCTTTTGAAATGGCTGCAGCTGGGAGTCCCCCTTTCTCTTCCTGTTCTGGGTCCTTTAACTTTCTGTCCGTCCCCATGATTCCCTCTTTAATTTCCTGTCTGTCCCCATGATTCCCCCTGAAACTGCCACTTCCTGTTCTGGTTCTGGTCTTCCGGGCGGCATGACAGCCACTGGTTTCTTCCCCACCCCCTCATTTTGGGCACTGAGCCGAAAAAGGTTTGCCTCCACTGGTCTAGTCTATGTTATGTTTACTGTCAAAGAACAGCTGAGTTTGTTTCAGATGACTGTGGAATGTGAGCTACACAGTATACATCACCCGTTACACTTTCCGTCAAAGAATCAGTTGTATATGGTCAGCTATTTTTCACAACAACTTGATCCACCTTATGTAGAAGACCATAACAGTAGTCATGCTGCATAAAAACAAAGGACTACAGTGGTGCCTCGGTTAGTGATTGCCTTGTTTAACGATGTATTTGCTTAGCGATGAGGTTTTTGGAGCGATCTTGCACTCCGTTTAGCGATGTTTCCAATGGGGAAATTTCACATAGTGATGTTCGGGACCTTGCTTTGCTTAGCAATGACAGTTTAGGTCCCCCTGTTTCGCTTAGCGATGTTTTTGACAGCTCCGTCTTCACTATTTTAAAAAGGTGTTAAATTGTTTAAAAAGGGTTTAGAGTGCTTGAAATCGTTAGTGCACTTAATAAACCCTTTGTTAACCAAATTTGGCTTCGTTCTGACTCTTTTTGAATTTTTGGTGATTTTTTTCTCCCCCATTGAAATGCATTGAAAAGGTTTCAATTTATTCCAATGGGGGAACCGCGATTCGCTTAGCGATGTTTCCTATGGCAATTTTTGCTTAAGGACGGTAATCCATTCCCATTGGAACGGATTATCCGGTTTTCAATGCATCTCTATGGGAAAACGTGTTTCGCTTAGCGATGTTTCCCCATAGCGATGAATTTTTTGGAACCAATTAAAATCATTAAGCGAGGCACCACTGTATTTGAATGAAAAGTTTTTAATGAGTGAACTCCTCTGTTATTGTGTTTCATGGAACAACTGAATGTGTTGTCAGGACTCTGGGCTTTCATTTTATTCCAAGTTTATTTCCGGGTCAGACTAGGTCTTAAAAGAAATGTTTATATGTGTCTTCAGTATTGTGTACTTTAAAAATTCCTCCAAGAGTGAAATGACTTGGAAAAGGTAGTTCCTTTTATATAAACTTATAGCACCTTCATCTGTTTGAATGGCCATGCACTTTTTGTATTAAAAGATGAATAGGTTTACATTTCAAGTGATAGCTCTTTAAAGTATCTCCACGCAAAAGTTGGTGCTCCTAAGGAATTCCTGTGGTGCTTTTCTGCTGTTATGCCTTTCCTACATAGATAAAACTGCATTTTAAAGTTTTATTTGGATATTAGCTTATAAGTGTCCAGTGGTTTTTTTTTTAGGACAAATCTTTCATTTTATAAGAAGCCTGGATTTTGATGCCAAATTATTACTTCTGTGGAACATGGTTCATCAACTAAGCCTGCATATGCTAAGTCAATAGGATTGGTCACTTCATCTATGTTTGTTTTTAAAACACTTGAACAACTGTCTGCAGTTTTGCTAGAATTTCTGAGGATTTCTTAATGCCTCATCCAACAACTCAAAAGAAATGATTCATCATAACTTGCAAAACCACCAAGGCTGGAAACAAGCCTGTTTTGTAAGTGAGTTTTAAAGAAAAATAAAATCAAGCTGTTAAAAAAGACTTCCTGATGAGTTCAGTGAAGTACAACCCCATTAAAACCTTCCATGCAGGTTTTCTGAGGTGTTTCATATACAAATGGTGACAAACAAAGACAGGGAAAACTCATGGAGTAACCAAGTGCGCTTCAAGGAACACCATGGCATAACACAGCACAGTCTACAGTCCTGGCATAAGTTTCTGGAAAACTGAATGTGTTGTCAGAACTTTGTGTGGCAACGAATGAATAAAGTATTGTGGTATTACTCATAGAGCAGACAGGGCTGAAGGGGAAAAAACCCTACTCCTTAAATCTGAAGATGGAAAATATAGATGTAGCAACTGTATCCTGAACACAAACCAGTGATTTTTATTTTTGCGTCATGGTATTTCCATCAAAATTTTTAAATAAATATTTTTCTTTATTTGTGCCTGGACATAGTGAACCTGAAACAGTTTGCAAAGATCCCTTCCTATGTGAATGCTAGACAAAGAAAGTGCTTTTAGAGCAAGCGTTGGACCATCTTGCTCTAAAACGTAGTAAATGGCTGCCTAGGAGACGGGCTGCTGTTTTTGTTTATTTTTTGCTTATTTATTTGCTTCCCTCCTTCCAGTTTTTATATTGTTTGTTTCATTATTGGAAGCCTTACTGAGTCCCTCTGAGAAGAAAGATGAGGTATAAATATTTTGAATATATAATAATGAATGAAACTCTGGTGCTAATGTTGCAGTTATAGAATGAAGGCAGATAGACATTATAAAGCACTGTGTTTCCCAAAAATGGAGCCCCAAATATCTTCCAGATATCCTGATCATTAAGAGCGTGTGGCTTCTAGGAATTGGAGACTAAGAATTTTCGGTGCTTTGAAATTAGTGCTAAAGTGTGGTGCAGCTTGCTGCAAGGACTAATTTGTCTTGTTTGCTAAGGCCAGTGGTAGCTATAGTCCCACCAAAACATGCAACACAATATGTAGCATAATTCCCTAGCAGTTTTGTATCTTGATGACATTGAACAATAGTGCCCTCTACTGGTGAAATTTCTTCCAGAAATCTCTAAGAAATGTCAACTAAAACTTAATGGAACTATATCAATATACTTTTTGAAAAATATTCAGAACCGCCCAAAGTAGACATATTCTAGATGGTCGGTATATAAATCTAATAAATAAACAAATGTTAAATAAAAATAACAATTTAGCAACAGAAAATCATTAAAGCACAAGACTTGTTTTCTTACTGCTTTCTCTGTAGTAGAGATGTATCTTATTATTCCTCATTTTTTAATATCTAGTTGCATCCCCTGTCATGGATGCATATACCTTAATATGAGAGGAGCTTTGAATGTGTCAAAGAAACAAAGAGCAACATTGGTGGGAAAGTAGACTTTAGTACGAATCTAGTGTCACCATCCAAGGTGAAATGGTCAATACCACACTCAGATACACCCAACAGTTGCATTAGCAGGGAATAGTTGATACTTCCAATGCTCATGGAACAGAAATTAGAATAAGAATAGTAAAACAATACCATGTGAGCAAATTTAAAAGTTTCATTGGCCTTTTTTTTACTTTTAGTGTAGGAATAGTGTATTTGTTTTCTTCCCTGATAACATCTCTGCTTTCAACTTACAGTTTCTCTGGTGCACAGTAGATTGAGTTTAGTAATGCAAATCTGTTTTCACATGATCTTTACATTTTTCAGGAATGTATTTAAACCATATATTGGGACTATAGTTGTTTTAGTGTTCTTCAGCTTCATTCTGATTTTAGTACATTTTGTGGTTTGTATTATAGTCCATTCATATCTTGTTTTTGCAGACAGAATAGATCTTTTCTATCTTCGGTTTCCAACTATACTCTCTATAATGATTTCTTTTTTCCCATCTGGTGATATCCACATGTGTAGTAATTTGCAGCTTTGTGATGAAAGTAGGGCCCAGTAGTTGTGAACAAAATAGCAGTAGATAACAGGATAAGTATTGCATTTGGTAATTAATTAATGAATCCATTGTGCATCCATTCTTCATTGCATCCAAGAGAAGTGTTCAACTTTTTAAATTTGAAGGACAGCATTAATAGAACAGTATTCTACGATTCAATAGATTGTGTTCCAAGGAGCCCCTTAGGTTGTGTGCATACACTGCATCTCATCCTACATCATCCTGCAATCAGTTGATTGTTTGTTCTATAATCCTTTCCCCAGCTGAAGCTCTGTTGTAAATGCAACCAGTCAGGAACAAAGAGGTGGTACATGGCTGTTAGCAAAAAGCTGCATTTATTCTTCCATTCTACTTATCCTGATCCAGAAGTTTGCTGCTTTCTCAGAACTGATTTAAAGTGTAATAAAACAAGCATGGCAGAAAGTAGCTTAGGATGGGCATTGTGTTGCTCCCGTAGTCTTGCTTAACAATAGGAGCAACAAAATGACTTCATCCAAACCATACGGCTGAAGTATAGAAAGCTTATAGTAAGAGGAGTGGATTTTGCTCTGAAAGAATGGGGTGTATTATAATTATATTATAATAAAATATAAAGTGGATCTTTCAAGCTTAAAGTTTGCTCAGTACGTATTACTAAAAGACTGCCATGACAAAATGTTGGAGATGGTATAGGGGAATCTGAGACTGAAGTATCAGAATGTGTCAGTTGTTACATTTTTGGTAGACACTAGACTCCTTTAGAAAAAGAAAAAGCTCAGTTATATAATTAATATTTCATAATAAATGTGTGATTTCCCCCATTTTCAGCAGAAAGTAGATGAATTTCTGAATACATACTGCTCACCTTCAGAAAATGCTGCAACAGAAAATACCTGGGATGTCCAGTCATTTGTTCGTTTTCCTGATGGCCAAGGACTGATGCTAACTCTCAAACCAGAATATAGAGTAGATGATGTTTTGACTCTGGCATGCAAGGTATACAATTGTGCATGTTAAAGTAGCTGATTAAATCTCATTTCCTTTAAATCCCAGCTGTTTTGTACTTTAAAATGTTAAAGATGTAGATGTGGCTAAAGAATATTGTGCTAGGTTATATAATATTCTTCTTTTTTTCCTTCTAATCTTATATGTTTTGACCATTCTGCCTTGGATGGCTCTGCTGAAATCTTTAACTGTTGCTGAAAGGATGAAAGGAAGACAGCAAATTTTGGGAGGTTACGTTGCCCCCCCCCTTCCCTTTTATCCTCCTTTTTATCCCTTTAGCAACAATTAACAATCTGTCTCTTTAGACAGGCATTTGAGGCAAATGAGGAAATCACAATAGACATTATCTGTTATATATTGACTTGTAAAAGAAAAAAACTAAAGAGGAAGGAAAGAAAACACAAAAACAGGTGGCACCTTAAAGACTATTTTATATATACTTCCCTCCACCTAAAATATTTCAGTTTGTTGTTCAACTGAGTTGTACAGTTCATAGGTCTCATTAAAGGTAGAAAACGTTCTGAAATGATTTATCTTTGTCTCATCTTTTAAATCACAGATACTTGACATTTTAACAGGGGTGTGTAAACTTTTTATATCCACTGTATGTATAAAAGTAAAAGAAGACAGTGGAGCACCCAAATGTGCTAATTCAATAGGATACTGATATGAGCAGTTTTTACCTTTGAGCCTTGTTATGAAAGTAGGGCCCAGTAGTTGTCAACAACATAACAACAGGATAAGCATTGCATTTAGTAATTAATTAATAAATCCATTTATATGGGTGTCCATCATGTGTATAAGTTGTATAACCCAGTGTGAAACAGGTAATGTATATGGTGATTCCTTAACTTGAGGCATTTGCTTCCAAATGGTACACTACAGTATATGTATTTTGCTGGCGTGACTGCACAAGAGGATTTGTGTATTAAAACTGATATTAAAACTGTACATAGTCTTTTCACAATATAATATGCTATGGCAGAAGGTAAAGCAAGAGTATGAGAGATTTTAACCCAAAGGGTACTGTCATAACTAGAAGATTTAGAAAGCTAAGTACTGCCACTGAAATAGCATATTGGATCAAATGGAAAGTTTCTTTGTATAGGAAGCATTTCTTGGTGAAATGTCAGGATATGTGTGTGTGTGTGTGTGTGTGTGTGTATACACACATACATATACACACACTGTATATACTGTATATACTGTATATACTGTATATATATGTGTATGTATTATATATACACATACATACATATACATATACATATGCACATATACATACACACACACATATATATATATATACAGTATGTGTGTGTATATATATATTATATATACACACATACATACATATACATATACACATATGCATATACATACACACACACACATACACACATAATTGGATTTTATAGAACCTGAGTTTGCTCAGGTATGTAATTGTATCACTTCTGAGGCAGAGGCTCAGAAATAGAGCTTGTTGTGGAACAGCAAGAAGTTTGGTTCTGACACTAATGTTTGCTGATTCCCTGCTTATTATATGCATTTCACTAGTAATGGTAGTTTAGCCTAGCTAATTTTATGGATCAGTTTAACTCCAGCAAATAAGGCATGTCAGTCCTCTGCCAAGAAAACTCCTCATTTCTTTTACAGTTAAGACAGCTGAGTATAATAAGGTGCCCATTTTCCTTGTTTTATAGGGAAGCTGTGCATGAAACTTACTATCTGTAACTGCCTGGAAAGGGTTTCCATACAGCGGAGTTGACCTGATGGGACATAATTGTAAATAACTGTATGTCAGTATCATAATAATAATTGTGTGCCATCAAGTCAATTCTGACTGATGGCGACTCTTCTCAGAGTTTTCCAGGTAGAGAATACACGGAAATAGATTACCATTCTCTTTTTCTGGGACTGGACAGCTTTCCCAAGCCACGTAGGCTGGCTTTTCTCCCAGGAGCTACACTAGGGAATCAAACTCCCAACCTCTGGCTCCACAGGCAGATATTTAAACCACTGAGTCAGCCAGCCAACCTATAGCTTGATAGTAGAATAAAGAAAATTAAAATTGAGCCTTTTCCTGGTATTTGATGATAACAGTAAATAAGCTCTGGTGTAATTAAACCAGCATACTATGAAACTGTGCACTGCTGCTATTGCTGCTGCCACCGTTATGCTGTTTTTATCATTTATATTTTTAATATTATGGAGTAATAAGGAATGGAAAAGGCAAGTAATTATGGGCAATATTTGGATGGCCACTAGGTGGTATCGGAGACTTAAATGTTGGAGGAAAAATTTCTGAGAAAAATATTACTACAGTATTTGGACAAGTAACTCCTCAGAGAAGAATCCTCTGTATAAGATTCATAAAAACATAGAACTTAAATTGTGGTGAAATATCTATTTATAAAAACTACATTAAACTGTTTTTCTTTTATATATATATCATTTTATCACTTTATTTTTATTTCTTTTTCAATTAAACTTTTTTTCTGTTTTGTCTTCCTTTCATTTCTGAATATATTTTTTTAATATTTTTCATAAGCAGTCTCTTAATGCTGACTCCTTTCTGCTACATCTTTCCTGGTTCTTTTTTCTTACATTTCCATACTTCTCTGGTGAGTGCTGGGCATCTTCATTCTTTAGCACAATGTGATGTTTGAGGGTTTTGTATTTGTTGTGCATATTTGTGTGTGGCTCAAAGCTATCTGGCAACAGGAGCAGACTGCCTAAATCTCCTTCGCTTTTATGTATCTAAACCATCTGACTGGATCTGTGAGATAGGATCAGCTGAGGGATTTCCGCAGTCCCATGTCATTTTAAAACTTCAATAACAGAAAGATCTCTAGGTTCCTTAATATTTAGCTTCAAGAAGAAGAATGACCAAACTTTGGATGGATTTGCTGATAAATAGTCATATAGATAACTATCAAAGCATGGAAAATATATTGACACATACAATGCAAAGAAATAGGAAGATCAGATATTTATAAAAACAATTGCATTGTAATATACAGTCTTGTGATGACTGAAGCAAGAAACTATGGCTTAAAAAGTGTCTTCAAAAGCAGAGTGTGCATCTAGGATCTGATTTCTTAAACTATCATTTCTTTGTTCAGGCAACATGGGAGACTGTGGTTTCAAACACTAGGACGTCTTTATCAAAGCCACACATTCAAAGGAATGAGGTGACTTTAAGAAAGAAGTGCATGGGCACATCTCATATCACCACTGAGATAAAGACTCTGGGGTTGAACTTGTGAGGTCTGGAGAAGGAACATTTCTAGTACACTGAGCAGACACTAGAGTCTTTCTTAGCAAATGTAAAATAAAGAAAGCAAAAACTTAACATTGTGAATACACTGATGTCACACTCATGCTTTTTAAAGAATGGATGATGTCATGTGAAATGGTAGGCTTTAAGAAAATTACATTGAGGCAAAACTGAGTGTGTTGATATCTTTACTGATTGTAATTTGCTGAAGATTTTGTAAGTTAGTCTGTCATTCAGGGATGGAAAACCCATAGCCCTTGCCCTGATTCCACGACAGCCTCCATCTAATTTCTAAAGGTCTTTGTGAGCAATCAATTAAGATTTTTACAAGTGTGACCTGTCCCACACAGCATCCTGGGGGAGAAAAAGAAGTGGCAGAGAAAAAGAGATTAAAGAAGTGAGGTTGCCTACCTGTGGCTATGGCCCCACTGGGGGCTTCAGCCTTGATCACTGGTGATATACAGCTTGTAACACTTGAGGCAAGACAGCCCTGATCAGAAAAGAAATCTTGCCTATCCTAGCTTTATTGAGGAGACAAAGAAACTTTCCTGATCAATTTGTTCAAGGAAATGTTCACTGAGATTTTGTGACTAAAATTGTTTCCTGTTTACAGTGGGCATAGTCACTATCACCATCTGTTGAAATTTTTATGGCAATCACTTTTTGGTACTTTTTTGAATGTAAAATTTTCTGCAACAGATCATAGCTGACCAATTAATTCATATTATGCAGAACTGGAGGCTGTTTTGAGGTATTGTTTGCCTATTGTTACCTGTTTCTTTCTTGGTTGTCCTGCCTCTTTACCTCTGTAACATAACCAAGCAAGGTGTGTTAAAATCAGATAAACTAAAATGTTGCTTGCCTCTCAAAATTGTGCTCCTCTTGGTAATTGATCCTCTTGAAAAGGTGTTCAGTGTCCTAAGATTGTGAAAATGAAGTTCCCTTCATAGAAAGGACACTCACAGTGTCCACAAATGAAAGGGGTAAATGAGTTTCACCATTTCCTCCCTACATTCCTCTCCACTTGCTCTGCGGGGTTTGGTGGCTCCATCAATTGTGTGTTGATAGAAGCCTGAAAGAGGATCCTCCTCTTCCAGTTGTGGTTCTCTGTGGTGAATCAAAGGTCCTTCCCTGTGGATAGAAGGGTACCATGGATTCAACCTTTAGTACCAATGGATATACAGTCACTAGTGTAGTGTAATGTTAGAAGAAAGATCAGTGGAGTGTTAGTTTTTTATCTTTAAGGACATGTATCAGGTTGCTTTAATATTTCATTCTAACCCAATAACCTGAAGGAGGTGTCACATCTTGTGGCATATAAGCAGTGCTTCATGAATTCAGAGGAAATTGGCAGTAAAAAGTGGAATACTAGCCAACACCTTTCTCTTAACAGCCTATTTACACACATGTATTTTATGTATGTTCCTTTTTATAACACATATAGAAGGAAGCCATCTGGAAGATCTGTAGAAACTGAACAGATGCCAGTGTAGATTGAGGTAGAGCACAGATTTAAAAGTTTATTTACACATTTTACTCTTTGGTTAATTTTATACACAGAAAGTAATATTAACTACCTCTTGATTTTTAAAAGCAACAAAAACTGCACTGCTTACAAATACTTTCTTTTTATTCTTTAGATTAAGCACCTGGAACCAAAACACTGTGGCTTACAACTCCGAAGGCATATTGGGGAAAATGTTGAGCAATATGTTCCTGAACCATATGAATACATACAAGACCAGGCAAGTCATGCAGCAGAGGTTAACCTTTTTCCTGATGAACAATGGTGCCCCCAGCTATTCCTGGTTTAGGCTAAATGTTGTCCATGTGCTGCCAAGAAATTCTTTCTCAGAATAAGTAAAATCAAAGAGTTTTAATTTGCTCCATACAAAGTGACCTGTAAAACTAGAAAATATGTGTCTCTGGATTACTTAACTGAACTTTATGGAAAATGGGACACAAGATGGTAAGGATGGGACAGGAGAGGAACACCACTGGAGGCTAACCCTCAGTTTTAGCTTGAGTTGGAATGCTACAGATAAATTCAGTCAGTTTTACTTTTTAAAAAATCCCTGTTTTATATAGGAGTAGGGACCAGATGTCACATTTATATATGTCAACAGGGCATGCAAATTTATTTATTTACCGCTTCATTACTGCACAGTACTATTTTGGGTGGTGTACATTTAAAAACAATGATATAACGGAAATAAAAGGAAAGAACTATAAAATCCAACTGCAACAAACAAAAATTAGACAACATGAGGCCCAGTTAGCACAACATAATGGAGCAGCAGTCCTGAAGCTTCCCATTTATATCTACTTTGAACCTGAGAATAACTCTTAGATGATGTGCACAACATTTCCTATACCCCACTCCAAGGCGTAGATATACTAGTCATGAGACAGTTTAGCATGAGGGACAAAGTTCAAATGGAAACATTATTAAAAGATAATGACTGAAATCCTCTTGTTTTGCAAATTGCCTCAAGTTAAGAAACCCCTTAGGCATTATCTGCTGTGTACTGATTCATGTAATTCAGTGTGCATAAAATAATGTCTGTGGAGATTTCTTACCTTGAGGTGATTCATATCCAAAAGTTACACCTTTTGCGTAGCAACGTGACAGGATTTCAGCCACTGAATAAAAACAAAAAGTCATCTTAAGTCACTTTGCCTAGTGATACAGGCGGTCCTAATGGTGACAGCTGTGCATGACGACAAGTTGAATTTGCAGCTGTGTATCTCCTGAGCATTCAGTGTCAGATAATATTTCTCTCTTGCAGATATACAGCGAAATAGAAATTTTTCTTTTAAGCATTTATCATGTGCATCTTACGAAGACAGAGGGTGTGACTGATTTTGGTAAGTCTGCATGTTCTGAAATCTAGGTGTCACTTTTGCTTTATTTAATCTATGTTTTCTTTTTGTTTCTCTTGGTTTCCCTTTCATTCCCTTATGTTTTCTTCAGATTCTAAGCTTCCGGGCAAGATGCTTTTTACATCTCTAATATTGTGGAATGCATTGGCGTTTTTGTACTGAACAGGTGCCTGTGTTATTGAGTGCAGTTCATGGAAAGCAGTGTGAATGGTGAAAACAGTCTAGTTCAACCTTGAACCTGATCTTAACTGGAAGAGAAGCCATTAAGAAAAGTGATGCTCATGTGTTAATTTTTTGTGATCAGGCTGCTGGATTGAAGACTGACAGGGAGAAAGTGCTGAACAATGTTAGAGTTGGGCAGGGCAATAAGTTTATTTCTATGCTGTGCTTTTTGTTAACTGAGCAATCCCAATGAGTTGCATTATATTTGCAAAGTATTAAATACAAATCTTCTTCATCTGCTTATTAACTCAGAGTAAAATGATGCCCTGTATTAATTTTTAAAATAGTTCTTCCTTTCAAATTCCATGGAAGTAATATGTATAGTGAGTGATTGTGGAACAGAAAGAAATAGCTAGTTGATGCAAGTAGGTGAGGATGGGAAAAAAGGGTGATGTAGATCAATGACAGACCATAGTAGAACAGGCTGTAGGATGAAATGCTTTAGAACAAAATCCTTAACAGTTTGTAGTTGTGTAGGACTCCATCATCTGCAACAAACAACAATATTAAGGCATGTGTAGTCCAAAAGAAGTGCCAGATACTAACTTTGAAAGACCAAAAAGAACACTTCCAAAGAAGCTAATAATAAATGTGCCACTAGGAGTCAGTGTCAACCTACCATGCCATTCTCAGTAAATACCATTATGTCAGAGCTAACACTACTGTATAATCAACAGCTTAGTTAACCCTCATTCAACAACTAAACAATTTTACCACCAACATTAACAACAAAGTATTGATCTTCCGATCTGTAATTATTGACAAGAATAAATTAATTTTTAAACATGGCATTCCAAGTGCTGGGGTGGGACCAACAGAAACTGTAGCAGGCAATGCAAGACTTGTTGTGAACCCTTCAAAAAGATACCAACCTCCATGGTGTAATAGCCTTGGAAATCTATGCCATGCCAGTAATAAAAAAATATTCAGCATTTTCTTTTAAAATTTCAGGATTTGCAGTAACTGCGCAAGTTGATGAACATCAGCATCTCAACCGTATCTTAATAAGCGATGTCCTTCCTGATGGGATCGCTTACAGAGAAGGTTAGTATTGCCTCATCTCTGTTAAATGCTGTATGAACCTCATTAGACTTCCCATACTTTTAGGATTTGTAGTCTCACTGCCCTTAAGGCTCTATAGAAGGTTCCTCTTGAGGAACTACAGTGTCAACAAAGCACTGTGGCAGTTTTCATTTTGGTACATTAACAACAGGATGTAGAGGTTTGAGACAGGTATGGAGCCTCAGAGACAGGCCTGGCTCTGGGTGAGTGAAATACAGATATCTGAAGATGTCCATAGATATGGATTTGTGGCTAGAACTCCAAGAATTCTGCTTAGGAGTTTCTGGAGAATTTTGGGAAACCAAAAAATCTAAATGGCACATCCCTAGTTGTTGCTTATTTTGCAGTGTGTGATATGCGAAGACAAAAGAAGAAGAAAATTATATGTACATGGAGAAATGTCTATGTTGAACATTGTTAGCAGTGATTTAGACTTCAGTCCCTGTACATACTCGCCTGGGAGAAAGTTGCCCTGAATTTAATGGCGCTACATTTCAAGCAGATATGTCTAGAGTTATTTTGTTAGATACTAAATTTATTTTACTGTGGCATTTTCACAATAAACTATATTATCAGCGCATTATTCCTCTTTGATATAAATAAAAGCAGTGAAAAGAAAAAAAATACTTTTTTAGTGCAAAGTTACCAACTTTGACAAAATATTTATTGGAGTCATTTTTTTTTCATCCAATTACATTCTATAAACATTCAGGTAATAAGACAATGAAAGGGGTAAATATTTGGAGAATGCAGTATGGCTTGTTTACCAGAATTGACTGCTGGTGAGCCTACTGACAATCACTCTTGTTCCGTATTCTCTTTCTCATGCTCCCAGGGTTACGTGTTGGCAATGAAATCTTGATTATAAATGGAGAGTCTGTATCTGATCTTGACCTCAGACAGATGGAGTTATTATTCTCTGAGAAAAGTGTGAAGCTAACTTTGACTACAGATCTCAGCAGCCATAAGGGGACATTATGCACAGCTTGGTCGGATGGTGACATTTCCAGGGAAGCAAAAAATGTGTTGCCCCCTCCCAACCAGTCGCAACTCCTGGAGGAATTTCTGGATAACTTCAAAAAGAATACAGCAAAAGGTGAGATGCTGGCAGTTTCTCTCAGGTTATATGTGGTTTTTTCCCCCCCTTAATCAGTATTTATTGTATGTTTAAAAAAAGCCAGAGATAATTATTTTTTTATTATCACCTGATTTTACTTTTTTTTCTGGAAAAGAGTGCTAGAAGATAAACTGAAACAAACATTTTTTAAAAAAATTGTAAACACTAATGAAGCAGCATTCTTTTTAATACAAAAAGGGTATAGTGAATAAATTGTTGCTAGTTATTAGGCTAAGTTATGGGAAGATATTTTGAGATTCACCAAGGCCTCATGAGATTTCCAGCATCTGAAGACCTCTATAAACAGGTACTAACTTGATAACATACATTCTTCCTTTAACTTCCCTTCTAAAGAAGGCAATAGCATCACTTGCCTTCTATAGAATATTGATGTATGGCTCTTTAATGCAGTTTATTAGACTGATAAGCTGGGAAGGCAATACAATACTTAAAACTCTGGGGGTAAACTACTTGCAGTGCCCTTCATAAAGGCCCTTTGTACCTTACAGTGCATGTTAGTGGGAGGAAAACCCCAGGGTAAGAGGACAGTATAGTGTCCCAGTGGCATTCTTACCACTCAAGACGACATGGATGTTTTCTCTGTGTAATAATTTGCTCTATGAAACAGCACCTGTGTAGTTCTGGCAGAAGTCACTCACACAAGCAAAGCTGGTAAACTTTAAAAAAGGGGAGGAGAATATTTAATCTTGAATTGTTGTCCTAACCATGTGGCTCGAGCATCACAATTTATGGACAGAATTGTACCAGCATCTGTCCTGCTACTGCAAGAGTATACTGTGAGCTGTGTTCCACTGAAACTAACATGACTCACTCCCAAGTAGGTGGGTTTAGAATTTAAGTACAGTGGGGCCCCGCTTGCCCCGCAAAACGGATAATCCGCAGGATGATGATATTTTGCGTTCGCTATAGCAATTTGCAAAACGGTTTTTCCTATGGGGGATTTCGCTGGACAATGATTTGGTCCATGCTTCGCAGACTGTTTTTCTCAAGATAATGATTTTTACAGCCGATCGGCGCTACCGTTTTTCGCAAGACAGCGATTTTACAGCTGATCGGCGCTTCGCAAAATGGCTTCCCTATGAACAATTTTTTGTTGGACAATGACGATTTTTCCCAATTGGAAGGCATTAAACGGATTTCAATGCATTCCAATGGGGAAATGCTTGTCGCAAGATGATGTTTTCACAAGACAGCTATTTCAATGGAACGAATTAACATCGTCTTGTGGGGCGCCACTGTAATTTGCATTGTTTTCAAATTTTGTATGTACTTGTGTGTGTAACACTTCCTGCACTCTAAGGGACTGAATAGCCACCATTCACAGGTGGATGTTTTTGCTAAAGTTTTTCTACTCAAAACTGCTCTCAAAGCTCCTTTTCTATTCACTGGCAAAATGAATAGATGTGCTTGTCTATGTATAATTTCCCCTATTTTGAGATGTGATGGTGATTTTTTTGATTAGTAAAAATAGACCATGGGTAAAAAGTTGAACATCTTTCCCTCCATCAATCTTTTAATCAAATAAACTACTTTTTGCTTTCTTTAAAAACAAAAAAAATTCAGGATTATGCACATTTGTCATTGGGCATCTGGTTTAAACCTAGGTAATTGTAAGTACTGTTTGTCATTCCTGGAGAAGTGATTCATATGGTTGATAAAGGAAGCAAGGGTTTTTAGGGTATAAATTAAATAACTGTCTGAGATCATTTTTCTTCACCAGCTTGAAAATGTTTGCTAAAAGTCTACTCATTTTTCATTACAATGGCAGAGTAAATGCTGACAGAAAGAAAGCTAACACAACCTTAGATGGTATCAACAGAAAGAGCCTTGTGTATCCCAATCAGGAGGCGTAATAGTTTCACTCCCTTCTTTGCTGTCAGGTGGCATCTGGAGTACGTATTATGTGGAGTTCTGGGCACCACATTTCAAGGATGATACTGACAAAGAGCAAGCCCAAAAGAAGAGTAGGGAAGGGTGTGAAAACCAAATCTTGTGAACCATCATTTAAAGAGCTAGTTACGTTTAGGCAGGAGAGAGTTAAAGGGTTGAACAGATGTTTTTCAGAAGATGGTGGAATTTTTTTTTCATGTAAAGAACTAATGAGCAGAAGGGCTAAAACTAGCTGTTAGAAACTTGTGGAAGGACTAGAACTAAGAGATGGAAATGGGACACAAGCTTTCAGCTAAATGTTTTTGGAAAACTTCCTAAGTGTACCAGAGTAGAACAGATTGCCTTGAGGCATGGCAAGCTCTCTTTTGCCCAAGATCTTTAAGCAGAGGCTGTAAAGTCAACTTGTTATTGATACTATGTAGTGTTAAGAGTAGCCAGGTTAGTCGGTGCTAGCATATCAGTCCAAAAACAAACTAAAAAAATAAAGAAGACAAATATGTTGTGGCAGATTAATGTGAGCTTTTGTGGACAAGTCTGAGGAAGTGGACTTGTCCACAAAATTTCACATTAAAATACTGTATAACACTTAGTCTTTAAGGTACCACGATCTTTCCTTCCATTCTTCCTTCCTTTTCTTTCTGTTCTTATTTTTCTTTTGGTTTTGGCCTATTATGTTATGGATATTGTAGTTGAATGACTTCTGTGTTGGCTGGAGAGTTGGACAAAATGATCTCCAATGTATCTTTCAACTGTAAAATGCAATGGTTCCTTCTATGCCAGTGAAAATGAAAAGTCACTAAGGATAATTTGGTAGTGTTGATTTGATTATAAAGCAGCTTTATTAGATCATCTTTAAATAAAAAATGGATTGCAAGATTTGCAATATAGGTAGTATTCTTCTCACGGGATTTTCTTCATTTTAGAATACTGTTAAATTGTTGGCATATAGAAACTCATGCCATAAAACAAAAACTATGAAGCTAATTAATTATCATTCATTTTATTAGGATACCCACTTAGTTTATTGGCTTGGTATTATAGGCCAGCATTACCTGGCATATTCATCAGATAAATATATGTGCTCACTTACCAAATTCACTACTCCTTTGGGGTGCATTTTGCAACTTGAATTAGTATAGTCTCTTATACTAAGAACCTGCTGGAAATTTATGGTACTCCAAGGCAGTAACATACAAAATATTTTTGGATTTGGCTGCCTAATTAAGCTAGGAAACATTGTGCATTTATTTATTTTGCTGCTAGGTTTTCTTGTATTTTATCATTTGTTTGGAGTATTTTATTATTATATTATATATTATTATATGCATTGTTTTTGTGTTGTGTGCCATTCTGGATCTCTTTGAACAGAAGAGGAATTATTCTGAACTAAATCTTGTAAGAAAGTCTGTCACAATTATCAGATTACAGTGGTATTTTTTCTCTCTCAAGTGTCTTGCTAATAGAAACAAATGCAAGCAGCATAGGTTTAACTGAATGAATTATTTTAATATGATTATCCCTTTTGTCCTGACGTTCTCTGTCATTTTGTTTCTCAATAGCATATGCATTGGTTTCCAAAAATAGCAATTACTTCTGGAACTTTTGAAAATCTTCACAATTACTGATTTAGATCTTTTTAACCCCTGTCCTTTTCTGTCATACATACTGTGAAGTTAAAGTCCCATCTAGAGTCCATAGTTGTATTTCCAAGAATGGCTAGCCAAATCCTTCCCTTAAGCTCAAAAGCAAGTAGGTAATGGGGGTGGGTAGGGAAGCAGCTTCCTTTCCTGGTAAAATTTTGAGAATGTGTATGTTGCTTCTACTCTTTTTGAAAAGACAATATCCTGGTCTCTTTTTTCCAAACTTTTCTATAACCATTTAGTTTATTTCTAATTTATTATAAGAATAACTGATATAAAAGAAATTTAGCCAAAATCCTGCTTGTCATCAAGACAGCTTGCCAAAGATCCTCAATCCTCTGTGATAAATCTTGCCTCCAGCATGAGTGGCACTTTTTTCAATACAATTTTGCAAAAAACAAAAATCTGTACAGTGGGGTTTCGACTTACGAACTTAATCCGTATTGGAAGGCAGTTCTCAGGTCGAAAAGTTCTTAAGTCGAATCTGCATTTCCCATAGGAATGCATTGAAAACCATTTAATCCGTATCTGCTCTTTTCGTCCATAGAAACTAATGGGAAGCTGCTTTTCCGCCTTCTGCCACTAGAGGGGGATAATTTTTTCTTTTTTCCTTTTAACCTAAGATGACTTAGCTTTTTAAAAAAGGAAAAAAAAGAGTTCGTAACTCGAAGCTAAGTTTGTAAGTCGAGTCCATATATTCCTATGAGAGCGGTTCGTAAGTCGAAACATTCGTATGTCGAGCCGTTCGTAAGTCGAGACCCCACTGTAGTATCTTTTCTCTTTATGAATCCATATACTCAGAAACAGACACACTTACACACAGCAAGCACAAAAGGATGAGCTGCTTGCTTGCAGGAATGCAGACAACCCATCCATTGCTTTTGCTTTTCAGTAAGCCATGGAAGAAGGCAACAGTTATTGTAATTTCCAGGTTTTGTGCATTGAAAGGATTGGTGAAAAATTATTCTCATGTACATTCTCCCTCTGAGATTAACCCCACCACCACCACCTCTGTGATAAATCTTGCCTCCAGCATGAGTGGCACTTTATTCAATACAATTTTGCAAAAAAAATCTCTAGTATCTTTTCCCTTTATGAATCCATAAACTCAGAAACAGACACACCTACACACAGCAAGCACAAAAGGATGAGCTGCTTGCTTGCAGGAATGCAGACAACCCATCCATTGCTTTTGCTTTTCAGTAAGCCATGGAAGAAGGCAACAGTTATTGTAATTTCCAGGTTTTGTGCATTGAAAGGATTGGTGAAAAATTATTCTCATGTACATTCTCCCTCTGAGATTAACCCCACCACCACCACCACCAATTAAGGGAAGGAGAAGAATCCTCCCTATACATTTTTAATGCTAAAGAATAAACAATGACATAGTTTACATTGTTAGGATTTACAAGATCTGATGGTGGTGCT